CTGTCCAGCTGCAACATACTTCCCAGAGTCCTTTGAGAATTGTGAAGCACTGAGACGTATCTTTGCTGCTCAGTGTCTGTGTAATGCTGCATTTTCCCTTCTTTGTGGAATAGGGGAGTTTAGTGTTCATGCCAGGCAGCAGGTTGGTGGCATCTGGAGACAGACGTACTTTGGCCTAGATCCTCAAAAGTATTTAGGCGCCTAACTCCCACTGAAATCTGAGTGTTTGTTCATAAAGCAGATAGGGCATATGAATCATAAAATGTCAGGGGTGGAAGGGACTTCAGGAGGTCATCTAGGACAACCCCCTGCTCAAAGGAGGACCAATCCTCAACTTCCCCCCCCCCCCGGATTGAGCTCACAACGCTGGGTTTAGCAGGCCATTGCTCAAACCACTGCGCTATCCCTCCCAATGAACATTACTGGACCCACTGGACCTCAGCCTTGACTAGCAAAGACTACCTGAAAGGGTAAGAGGGTAGTTCAATCTCCAGTTCCATTCAATCCTTGTGCTCAGATTGTCTAGGAAGCTACCCATTAGTGCCAATTGTAATGGCAGTTTTTTATGATGGGACTGGACTAGTGGACAGACACCACCAATTCAATGTACGTAGGCCATTAAACTGCTATCCCATCATACGAATTTTTGGTTACCACTAACCTACATGTGATGGGACCTAGAGATGAAAGGGTATGCATGGCATGTGCAATCCACTAAAGCATCCAGTCTCAGTGCTACAGTGCATAATACAAATGGCATGTAGGACTCTGTGGCTGTCACTTGGTTGCTCACCAGGGCCATTCAGAGCTTTAGGCAACAGCAAGCACTGTAGCCAGATCCTCCAACACCAACATCCCATGACTCAACTGACTGTGCTACAGGGGACTGTGACGCAGGGACATCTGAACACTAAGTATTATACTTCTGTTTTCAGGCGGGATTATGGGGATTTTAAAGATCAGAAGTGGAGTCAGTCTTTGCCTTTATGGGACCCCAGCCAACAACTAAGGAGTGGGTAAGGGTGTGTGTATCTATACATATGAACTGGGCTTTGAGTTCTCCCATCCAATTACTCGCGGTGAGCATCTGGATATAAATTACTCTTCCCTCCATTCACACCGATGGAAGCGTGACATGAGAAATTGAGTTATCTCCTCCCTCTGCTCATGCTGCTGAAAAAGGTTAATGTGCAGTGATATTTAAGGCCCAAAGGGATCATCTAGTCTGACCTTCTGCATAACACAGGCCATACATCTTCCCTATATTAATTCCTGCTTCATGTCCAACAACTGCGCTTGAACTACAGCAGATCAGAAAAACAGCCCATTTTGTTTTAAAAATTGCCAGTGAGGGAGAATCCACCACAACCCTTGTTAAACTGTCCAGTATTTAATTACTCTCACTGTTAAAAATTTGCTCTTAGTCTGCACTTGACTAGCTTCAGCATCCAGCCATTGGATAGTCTTATACCTTTGTCTGCTAGACTGAAGAGCTATTACCAGATTTCTTTCAGAGTAGCAGCCGTGTTAGTCTGTATCCGCAAAAAGAACAGGAGTACTTGTGGCACCTTAGAGACTAACAAATTTATTTGAGCATAAGCTTCCGTGGGCTACAGTCCACTTCATCAGATGCATAGAATGGAATATATAGTAAGGAGATATATATACATACAGAACATGAAAAGGTACAAGTAGCCATACCAACTCTAAGAGGCTAATTAATTAAGATGAGCTATTATCAGCAGAAGAAAAAAAACTTTTGTAGTGATAATCAAGATGGCCCATTTCAGAGAGTTGACAAGAGGTGTGAGGATATGGGGAAATAGATTCACTCTGTAATGACTCAACCATTCCCAGTCTCTATTCAAGCCTAAGTTAATGGTATCTAGTTTGCATATTAATTCAAGTTCAGCAGTTTCTTGTTGGAGTCTTGTTTTTGAAGCTTTTCTGTTGCGAAATTGCCACCTTTAAGTCTGTTACTGAGTGACCAGAGAGGTTGAAGTGTTCTACTGTTTTTGAATGTTATGATTCCTGATGTCAGATTTGTGTCCATTTATTCTTTTGCGTAGAGACTGTCCGGTTTGGCCAATGTACCAATGTATATGGAATCATATATTCAAAAACCAGTAGGAGAACACTTCAACCTCTCTGGTCACTCAGTAACAGACTTAAAGTCACACGAAAACCCTCTGATGTAGGCAAATGGGTTATGTTAATTTTACAGATGGGTAAGCAGAGCCTCAGAAATGATATACAAGTGACAGAGTTAGGACTAGAATGTAGGAATTCAGATGTCTAGTCCTCTGTTCTAACCATTATACCATATACTAATTGCCCCATGCTGTGTTTTATCTTACATATTCCTGTTATGCCTTTATTGTTATGCTTTTGTCACAGGGTTTGAATTGCATCTACATATACTGGTGGTATAAGTTACATATAGTCAAACTGGTGTTAGCTGGCATATATGAAGATGCAACTTACAAATTTGTAAAAACTGGAAGTGTGTAATAAGGATCAATATTTGGGTCTTTACAGGGTGACAAACCATGAATACCGGCGGCCTACTTCTATGCCTGCAAGGCTTGTCCATCTGTACTACAGGCTTTCAGCACAGATGGTGAGGCAGTGTTCTCCCTAACAACTCTAAAATATTCAATAACTATTTGTGTGTGTATTTCTGAATATGATTATCATCCTTGTTACATTTCTTTCCTGATTCTTTTGGAGAGTCATGAACTATTAACAAGGCTAAGGAAACTTCAGCATTCAGACTCTGACTTGGCACTGGTATAAGTGCTGGGTAAGTAAGTTCCACACCATCCTCCATCCCCATTGGGATGCATTTTTGGATGTGTCCTTTGGTGTGATTTTGTGTTGCAAAAAATGTAATCCCAAATGCTGCTGCAATTGATCTGCCCTTGAAATTCCCAGAATACAATGTGTGGTCTATACATGGAATGGATGCAGGTAGAATTTACATAGCCTGTGACAAGATGGAGCAACAAGCCTCTGATAGGTCTAAAGGGCAGCAGTGATAATGACATTTGCAAGTGGGTAGTCAAAAAATGCCAGGTAATTGTATTCTGAAAGCTTTCTAGTATCTGGTAGAGATTGTATTAATGTCACACCCAGAGCCTAACAGCAACTAGTAAAGATCATAGGTGAAATCCTGGCCCCATTGAAATCAATAGCAAAACTCCCCTTGGCTTCAATGGGCTAGCATTTCACCCATCCCAGTTTATAACTGAGAACTGACTCCAAAATAATAAGAATTAATCAGATCATATAGCAGGTGTAGCTCATTGTTTTTGATAATACCAATGAGACATCTCTGCAATAGAGCTGGTAGGAAATCTTTCGACAAAATGTTTTTTTCATCTGAAAATGCCAGTTCACTGAAACTGAAACTTAATGGGAAAGGCTTGATTTCAATGAATTTCCTGTTGTGAGCAATTTTTGAAAAAAAAAGTTGCAACATTGTCAAAACATCCCATTTTTACATTTTCAAAATGAAATGTTTTGCTTAAAAATTTAATTTATAGTATAAAAAAATCAAAATAATTTTTTTTGATTAGCCTGAACCAATTTTTTTTTATTTTCAGTTAGCGAAAATGTCTAGGATTTCAACTTTTTGTCCCAATTCAGGATGTGAAAATTTTTCAAAATCTCGAAAATGTTTGCAGGATGGGAAAACTGTTTCCCATCTCACTTTAATTTGTGATCTTGAATTTGATTGGGTAGCAGTTTATTAGTTTGTGATGTTAGACTCTATTAGTAGTATGTGAATTTAATTTCATAAAAGTAACTAGAGTTTAACATAAATGCTTGCTAATAATCTAAAGATTATGAATTCTGCATTCTCACTGGTGAGCTGTTACTTATCTGAGTCGTCTGACTGGATAGTGGAGCTAGTTAGATGAGTAACTGCACATTATTGGGAGTAAGGAATTCAAAATCTGGCTTAATTAACAAAATAAATAGAAAACATTCTGCTCACGTTAAAAGGGGGAAGATTTGTATTTCTCCCTTTCCATTAGATTTAAAACCTAAAAAGATATAACCACCATGTTATTTCCTGCTACACATAAAATAATAAATAAATAAAATGTAATCACAATGCATCGGGATTCTGTGCATATATTATCTATGTGCTTGTGTGCATGGTATTTACTGATGTGTTCAGGAGGGGATGAACTAACACGAGCAACTATCTAGTGGATGGCCCAATCCATTGTATGAACATTTCTAGGAACAGATTTTTGAAAGTGCTCATCTCCCAGCTACCCCCATTGAGAACACTTCTCATTCTCAATGAGAAATGCTGGCTTCTGCCGAACTCTTTTGAAAAACTTGGTTTCTCTCAGGCAAATTACAGCAGGGTGTTCCCTTTGCATCAAACAGGTCATCCAAGCAACTCACTTCAATAATTCATATAAATGTGAGTGTGATATATGTGCCTAGGGAGGGTGATAGACATATAAAACCAAGGAATTATAATATTGTACTTTCTATTTGTTTGCCTTATGGAACTACTTTGTCTTGTTATGGTGATACGTTAATAAAAGACTAAACAGTGCCGGTGACAATGGTGAGGCCGGCAGTGAGCTACATTGTGAGCACAGCTTGTCCCCATGAAAACATCATTATCACATTATCCACCTTCTGCCACCTCCATATGTTAGTTTCACCCAGCTTTTTGCATTTTGTAAGCAATTTAAATGGCAAGATCTGTAGAGCCTGGCTTCAGTGAGGTCCTTAACAACGTGCATAGTCAATAGGACTTCTCACATGCTCAGTGTTATGTCTGTATGTAAGTATCTTACTGCATCGGGGACTAATGTAAAGAGTGTCTCTTTACTCTAGCACCTACCACAAAGGGGCCTTGATCCCTATCATATAAGTGATAAATAATATAAGAATAATAAAGGTATTTAACTTTTCCAATCACATTAGCAAACATCACACACTGCATGCCACAAACAAAAGCTTTCTTTTACCTGTGAAGTTAACTTTCAGTAGGTAATCTTTATACAGCTTCTTGCCATCCAGAAGTTTCATGGCATCACACAGTTTGGTGGTGTTGGGGCACAGTGTCCGTTGCATTTTGTGCAAGGCGTGGGCCATCGCGTACACAGCATTCACCACAAACATGATCTTGGATTCCTGCTCGTAATTGGAACTGTTGATATTTAAGTGTTTGTCACAAGCTTTTCTGTGCGGCTTTCTGTTCTGGAGACTGCACTGGAATTTTTGCTCCCAAAAGTCCCTGAACCAGGGATTGCGATGATTATTATAAGGATTGAGGCTTTGGAAGTACCTGTCAAACTCTTTAACTGGGTGGGAAGCAAGTTCCAGGGTTATTGCTCCATAAGCTACGTGCTCGTTGCCCTTGACAACGCTCTCCTGGGCCCCCCACCCATCACTGGCGACCCATGTAAAGGAAACGTTGAATCGGTTAGCGGCAGCAATGAGCTCCCGAGAGTCATCGCTTCGCATGAAGAGCACGACCACCCTTGCGTTGGGTTTCTGGAGCAGCTCTCTGATCACGCTGTCATAGGACTTCCTGATGTTGGACCTGCCAACCTTCTCTGAGGTGGCAATGCAGATGTTCCGGAGGCGAGCCTCCTGTTCAAAGGCTTCGATCCCCGTCTCTCCATAGTCTCCTTCTGAGGCAACCGTTGACACGTAGGTCCAGTTGAAGAACCGTAAGATCTCAGCCATTGCTTTTGCTTGATAGAAGTCGGGGGGGACCGTCCTTGCGAAATAATCATAGCGGGACTTGTCACTCAGCTTGGCACTGGTGGAAGCATAGCTGATCTGGGGGATCTGGAATAGCCTCAGCAAATTTGCAACCTGGAGGGAATAGGGAAAAGACACATTTTAATGGGTGGTCATTATGAATTTGAACCAAACATACCTATGAAGCACCAAACAATGGCTGTTGTAGTGTGAGTTGCCCTGGAGGAAATGGGGTATCTAGCAGAGGCTACAGGTCCACTCCTGTTTCTGTCTCTGGTGGCATCAATGCACTGGAGGGATCCTGAAGTCCTGCTGCCCCATTCACTTGCCCCAAGTCCTTCTGGAGGCATAATGGACTGTATTCACTGCTGCTGCAAAAGGGCTGGCTCCACTGGCTTCAGTATAGCTGTGCCCATATACACCAGCCGAGAATTCGACCCAGTGCCACCAGGACAACTGTTTGGTTGGAGCATATCCAATCTTGGCATTTATACTGGTGGGATTGGAGTGTCCTGTCCCGGCACAATGTGATTCGGTTTTTCAAGGGCCTAATTAGGCATGTGACTGAATATCCCATTATGCTCGGAGCAGCCTTCAAATGAATTTATACAAAGCCTCCTCCTCCAAAGAAACACCTCAAGCCCCTCCTGTTCGGTGACACGCTCCAGTTGCTGTGACACCCTCCCACCCCCTCCCCTTTCTTTACTGTATTGTGCTCTTTGTTCTGTACTGTTCTAGTCAGTGCCCCCCCCCCAAGGTGGTGGCCTGTTATTTGTTTGGCATGGCTCTCCAACTATACAGTGCCATGTTCTCCTACAGTGCTATATAAATAGTAAATAATGATAATAATCCCTAATTGCACTTGCTAGGAGATTTGTGTTGTGCAATGTACCGCTTTTTTACACACTGCCATTTCCCTTGCTAGTGGGCAGTTATTACACGTAAATGTGTTACTATCAATCTATCCAGATCATACGGGTAGCTATGAGACAGTGTTGCTCTTGGATCGTATCTGGAAGGAGAAGAGGAAAGATATGTTCTTCTTTGTTTCCATTGTGATGTTACACTCCATATGCTTTATGAATATATGCTTTGAATGTGAATATAATGTAACTGGAGTATGCTTTATGCAAAAGGTCTCTTATAAGGTATCATTACAACGCTTATAATCTACGGAGTGTGTTCATCCTATTTGTATGCATATATCATTCTTGTATCTGAAGCTAGAAATATGAAGTATATCTCTGAGGTCCTATTGTAATTATGCAAAGTGTGGCCCATTAATGGTGGCTTAGAATCTTGATGGCTCCCATTGACTAGGACAATTTGTTGTACATGGTTTATTTACCTGCAAGCCTTCCTATATACGTGTAGGGCAGTCCAGGAAGAATGGAGGCTGGGGTCTCACAGGACATGTGACCATGTCACATGATACTGAAATCCATCTTAAATCTGGTACTTTTCCATTTAGAAGGAGGGGTGGGTACCCAGAGAGACAAAAGATTCCGGCCTTGTGCCAAAGCTGTAAGAGGGGGTGGAACAGAACAAAGGAGGCTTCCAGTCATGAGAAAACCCCTAGTTTCCACCTAAGATGACTGCTGGAACTAACAAGGACTGTACCAGGGGAAAGGATTGGGCCCAGACTAGGAAGGAGTCTAGTCTGTGAAAGAAG